TAGCAAAAGAAACTGGCATCTCCAAATTTTACAAAATAATAATTCACTGTTTCTTTTCTTTGAGTAATCTGACAAAAATTTAGTTTACTTTGTTTTTACATTATATCTTGTCATTGCAAGATATGATATTCTAAGTTTAGAAGTTTTGGTTTGAACAAAACGTTAAAGCAGCACAACTAGAAAACGACTAACTATATTTGTTCTCTATACAAAAGCAAATGTTAGAACAGGAAACCAGTCATGTGTTATGTATACGTTATGTATACGTACTGCAAATGTTTCTGGCATCAAACTGACAACTGTTCGCCTTTAAAAATGTTGTCATAAAAACAATGCTGTATAGAATAATTCAATACCCTTATAGATTGATGGAGTACAACAATTGTTTTAAATATTTGTTATAAATTTAATTTAGTATTGTTAAAAGCTGTATAACTATTTATTTTGTTTATTTTAAAATCTTGTTCTCGAACAATAGTAATCTCTATTCCATAGGATTAGTGTTGTTACTAATCCTAAAACAAAATATACACTAATAACTATTAGTAATACAAAATTTAGTATCAAATTAAATAAGAGTAATTTATATTTTAAACTCGCCACAAATCATAGAATTAATATAATCTAACAGTAATTTTTATTCCAGATTTGTTCTTGCCCTCGAAATCATTACATTTGTTTAATTAGCTACTAATTATTTTCTTTAAAACTATTTTTCTAAAACAAGCGAAGAATTCCAGATGAGTTAAGGCATCATTCCTACCAACTTAAGTCGATTGTTTTTGGCTGCCCGAGACACGTATTTTGACATTTAAGTATCGATGTAACCACAATTTTGCTTGATTAACTCTTGATTAACTCGTATACAACAGCTGTCACAAATTTAATAAAACCAACTGAAATGTGTTCGATTACGCCAATCATCACTGCTGGCAAGGGAGTAGGCGTGGTCGAACCCTCGGGCAGAAAAGGCTCGCTAGCTGGGGACAGCCACTCTTCTAGGAGTGACAACTCCAAAATCAAACAGCTGCTGCCTTGTAGTTTGTTCTTGGTTGGACAAAAGAAAAACAGGCTGAAATCGGAGTCATTGGCCTAAATGGTGCATAACCAGTTGACACGTAACGCTGAATTGTGATGGAAGCATGGTCGAGGCGGCAAAGCTCATAGTTGATAGATTCGAAAAAAGATTCGAGTTCAAACCCTCTGGAAGATTAGGCTCGATCTATTCCTACACTAAAAATTAAGAACGAAGAAGAAGAAGAACTGCTGGCAATACTAATTTTTCCTTAAACCAAAATCGTTAAAGAAACAGCTGTAAATGTTTAAAACTACAGATAATTTGTTAATACACATATTTCTGTTAAACCAGTTTGTGTATAAGTATACTCTCGAATTGTGTTGAAATAAATGAGTAAATATTGTAAACAAAACGATAAAAGCAATACATTCTCTATTACCTGTATTTATTTTACATTTATTTCAATCATTTGTTAAATATTTAAGCCTCTAAAACAGTATATGTCCTTCAAACTCGCGATCTACTTAGTATGGGCTTTCAATCACATATAAATGTTATTGTTCAAGGCTTTTAAGTGATTCACACTCTGGAACGAAAATGGCGTGATAAGAAACACAGTTTAAATGTCATTATGTAGTTGAGAATGTAAGACAGGTGCGGTGAATATGGATTCGAACTCGAGACTCTGGGGTTAGCTGTCTGACTCTCTACCGCTAGGCTACCTGGTCCCATCCTGCAATTTTCTGCGAGCTTTTATAAAAGTTATTTCGCCCCCCACCCCCTCCGGTTATACCGTTCTCTATTCCTAGCAATCGATGCACGGCTTTGGGTTATCCTTTAAAAGCCAAGCTAATGCCTGCTAATAATGTGTTTCATCTAATCTCTTAGTCTAAGCGTCTAACAGTGTTGCAAAGGCATGCGGGAAATAATTTTAAGTCTGCTTTTGTTCTATTGTTATTACGGCCCGACCACCAGGTCCTTTACTACTGGACCGGGGTTGGTTAACAAGAACAAAAATAATACGGAATAAACACAATTAGAAACAGGAGCACAAAGATGGGATCTGCCATGTGGAAAAATGCTTGTATTAAGATCTGGGATTAATGAAGAACGTGTGCACCTTCGTACGAGAAGCTGGAGTCCTGAAAAAGTCTTTGGATGAAGCGAGTCCCACCCAGAACCAACCTGACCCCACTGCCATGTAGGTACGCGGGAGGGAGGCAGGAACTATAGCCACTAAACCGCTTGGCCAAGTAGGGTCAAAACGTCGCAGCTGTGACAACTTCAGGCAAATGACACCCTCTTCAATGTGTATTAAACGTGCCTGGTCGCCCGGGCGTCCCTATTCGGCGTGCTACAGAAAGGCGCCCATAGCTACGACTCACCCGTTGAAGCACAAACAAAATCCTGACCGTAAAAGGCGACGTCTGTCTTTGGCTAGAGGCCCCCGCATTGCATCCCATCGCGGTTTTTAGATGATCTTTGATTGCGAAGTGGTCATCGGGGCCATTCACCGAGCGTCAAAGTGGTTGTCAAACAAAGGTACAGCTCCCAGGCCAAATAGTACGAGAGACTGGAGCTAAAGGAAAGTTTGAGCTCGTACAGCAGACAAATAGTACGAGAGACTGGAGCGGAAAAAAAGTTTGAGCCAGCAGACAAATAGTACGAGAGACTGGAGCGGAAGGAAAGTTTGAGCCCGTACAGCAGGCAAATAGTACGAGAGACTGGAGCGGAAGGAAAGTTTGAGCTCGTACAGCAGACAAATAGTACGAGAGAATGGAGCGGAAGGAAATTTTGAGACCGTACAGCAGGCAAATAGTACGAGAGACTGGAGCGGAAGGAAAGTTTTAGCCTATACAGCAGGCAAATAGTACGAGAGACTGGAGCGGAAGGAAAGTTTGAGCTCGTACAGCAGACAAATAGTACGAGAGACTGGAGCGGATGGAAAGTTTGAGCTCGCACAGCAGACAAATAGTACGAGAGACTGGAGCGGAAGGAAAGTTTGAGCTCGCACAGCAGACAAATAGTACGAGAGACTGGAGCGGAAGGAAAGTTTGAGCTCGCACAGCAGACAAATAGTACGAGAGACTGGAGCGGAAGGAAAGTTTGAGCCAGCAGACAAATAGTACGAGAGACTGGAGCGGAAGGAAAGTTTGAGCTCGTACAGCAGGCAAATAGTACGAGAGACTGGAGCGGAAGGAAAGTTTGAGCTCGTACAGTACACAAATAGTACGAGAGACTGGAGCGGAAGGAAAGTTTGACCTCGTACAGCAGGCAAATAGTACAAGAGACTGGAGCGGAAGGAAAGTTTGAGCACTTACAGCAGACAAATAGTACGAGAGAATGGAGCGGAAGGAAAGTTTGAGCCGGTACAGCAGACAAATAGTACAAGAGACTGGAGCGGAAGGAAAGTTTGAGCACTTACAGCAGACAAATAGTACGAGAGAATGGAGCGGAAGGAAAGTTTGAGCCGGTACAGCAGGCAAATAGTACGAGAGACTGGAGCGGAAGGAAAGTTTGAGCACGTACAGCAGGCAAATAGTACGAGAGACTGGAGCGGAAGGAAAGTTTGAGCTCGTACAGCAGGCAAATAGTACGAGAGACTGGAGCGGAAGGAAAGTTTGAGCCAGCAGACAAATAGTACGAGAGACTGGAGCGGAAGGAAAGTTTGAGCCCGTACAGCAGGCAAATAGTACGAGAGACTGGAGCGGAAGGAAAGTTTGAGCTCGTACAGCAGGCAAATAGTACGAGAGACTGGAGCGGAAGGAAAGTTTGAGCTCGTACAGCAGGCAAGGGGCGCTCCAAGGGCCAAAGCCACACCCTGCTTTAGAGATTGGAGGCGGTCGAATCGGTATTACCGACTGGGGGTTGTGTACAAGTCGGTAGGACGACGCCCCAAACCAGGTGGGGGGGGGGGGGAGAAGGCAAGCCCGGTGTAAAAACCGGATAAAAGAGCAAAAAACATGTTTCGCATAAAGCCAAAGTTTTCGTGAGACTGTCTCAAGTCCACATATTTGCCAGTTATTTGGTGTTCGCTACATCTAGGCCTACATGGCTAATGTGAGTCCAGCTTATGAGCCGGTATATCCCTGTCATTTCAGTAACTGTACAACACTTAACATCAAACCGCCAACACATGAAATACAATGAGTAAAATACCACTATCTACAACGGAAAAAAAAATTATTTTAAAGTGACTACCCAACTAGTCTCTAACGGTCATTTCTATTCTACGTCTACAGACATCCCAACTCACCAGGTATGTCCCCTCTTGTTGAATTCTAGCCCAGCACTGTCCTGTACCGTCCTGTCTCAAGCCCTTACCAAATAGACATATAGAGAAATGTATGTTCCAAGCAAAAAAAAAAAAATTAAAATAAAAAAAAACTTAGGCAAAACTATTATGAAAAATTTAATGTCCCAATAGAAAACATTTAAATAGCCACCGGTAATTTCTCTCTTGAGAAAAAAAACATGAACAAATATTACATAAATCTTTTTCGTAGTAGCAAAAAGTTCACAACAACCCCACAACCATACATGAGTTGATAAATAAAAAAAATGTCTTTGTATATTTGTTAACATCATATAATTGCTTGCAATGCTTTACTTATAGATGTCAATACACTCATAAGCAACATAAACTTTCCATCACTTTTGGAATAAACAGATTAATGTAACTCACAACGCAACCTATTTTCGATAATTTTCCGTCAAAACCCATAGGGACACATACGTCCTATGGTGTATCTGAAAACTATTAAAGATATCGGGAAAACATTTTTAAATCTACGTGTCATTTGACTTCTAAATGTGTTCACAAATATATTTAAAATTATGCGTACAGACCTTGTGGTAATGAAAGGGTTAAAATAATTATTAAAAAATTATAAGCGACACGTAATTAAAATAAAAGTCTTAGGCCAGATGAGACCCGCATATAGACAGAACATAAAAATCAAACAGTATTATATATCGACAACGCCTAGCGATAACAACGTCATTCGTCTTTGCGCTGTGTGACTACAACCATGGGGACTCTGAAAATATCTGCTCGAGCATTTGTTCTAGTGTTTGCTCTCAACTTTTTTCTGTGTTCTGGTAAGGTTATAAAATTTACGTTGCTACATTTTGTGTCATTAATTTGTTTTTATTTTTAAAAAAGAGGTGTTGACTATTGCTTTTACTTTCGTTTTTATCGAATTTCTTTATGGTTGATTGAGTTCAGTATTTTCTGCGACATAGATACTTATACTGATCTATAGATTTTGGAATAAATATTTTTTTCCTTCAGTTGTTCAGCAATTGGACTGCGTGGCCCAGCTTTAGACCGCTATGCTTCTTACCCAAAAATATCGAGTTCGAATCCTGGTTCAAGTCAATAGAATGTCCATAAGCCACCTAACTCTAATGGGTACCTAATTCACGTTGAGGCGGCACGACTTAGTACTGACCACACTATCCCTTAAACGGTTGCGGTTTCTAAAGCAGATGTTCTCTATGAAAATTAAAATAATAATTGTTTATCAACATCGTCCCCTAAGAATTAGAAAAAACAACTACGATAACATTCTGACACAAAGGACTCCAAAAATCAATTGAAATTAATATTTAATTTAGACATATTTGGCACAGGTCAACACGACGATGACAAAATAAAACCTCAAGACATGCAAAAAAGAGAGGACACGATTAACAAGGTAAATCATTTTTAATTAATTTGTCATAAATATTATGTTCCTTTGTTACAAAAGACAAACACAAAAAGTAATTGCAATAAAAAAGGCCAGAACTCATCGTCGGGATCAAAGCTACGCACTTTTGACTGAACTTTGTCCTTAAAATAATGGATATTAAAGGATTAACATAGCAACCAAATGCTAGTTTACAACGCTTAAATCTGCATGAAGGTCATTACCTTTAATGGGAATAATGAATTTGTAATAAAATTATTAAAATTTAATATAATCCCAAATCATTAAATATACAAACTATAAAGATCAAACTGACCTAAGGCGTGAATTAATTGTTTCAAAACGTTTGGCAACTCTTTCATGCCGACAAAAGCCCCAACATTTGTCAATATGGCAAGCCAACCAGTTCTATTTATTTGTTGCTTTCTTTTTAATGCTTATTGTGTCCATTTTCGTCTCTTTTTTAAAATTAATTTATTTACAATGAATTAATAGATTTTACATTGGTGTTGTCTTGTAACAAACACTTAGAAATATATATACTACTAAAACTCAAGTGTGTTTACATGTTTGAATTATGTTTGTCATATATATATATATATATATATATATATATTTGCATGTACCTGGAACAGAAATATATATATATATATATATATATATATATATATATATATATATATATATATATATATATATATATATATATATATATATATATATATATATATATATATATATATATATATATATATATATATATATATATATATATATATATATATATTATATTTATGTTCCAGGTACATACAAATATTTTTCCTTAAGTGCCATAAGTTATACATACACAAATAAATATTTTCCCTTAAGTACCCTAACTTATACATACACGAATGAATTATTACATATTAAAGCATATTTAAGATAATGGCACAAATCCATGAAAAGGATATAGCCTACGTTGATTTCAGCCATATGTCGCAAAGCTTTTAGTAGAATAGAAAAATAACAGATTAAACATATCACATATCATTGAAAAATTTGAACATCGACACAAGGCTAAATTACTTAAGCACGAGCAACTGTGCATATTTTAGTCTATTGGTATCACACTCTTATACACACACACACGCACGTATAAATACATATATTTACACACTCGCATGCTATTGTATAATAATTTGCTTGATCGAATGATATGCAGATTTGTAAATTTCCAATGGGATTTCACACCAATCCACATTGGTGAAAGTTGTATTTGGTGTCACCCCCGTAATATTTGGTAGAATGGTGTCAATTCATGCAAACATTATGTTAATCTACAAAGAAAAAGTATGTAGGGACCCCACTCTAACAGTTATAATTATATTTTAAAAAGCATTGTTTTTGTACTAAATTATAAAATTAGATAAAATTAGATGTCACAATCCTAATACCAGACGTGGATTGACATATACAATTCTTAACAAAACCTTTTTCCTCAGGCAAAAAAAAAATTGCAATGTGTTGTTGATATAACTTACCCCACCCCCAAAATCCCCAACCCCACCTTGAAAGATTTAAACAGTGCTTAGATAATACTAACGATGTGTATCTATAGTCGGTTATTAATATACCTGGAAGTAGCAGGTTTGCGTCATAATGCCAACCCCCCCCCCCCCTCCCTCCACCTTCCCCAACCCTGTTGGAACTTGTCAATTTTGCTCTTAAAGTCTATTTACCTCTAATTAATCATTTATTTAAATGTAATGACCATTTTTTTCTGTATATATTTTGCTATTTTTGCCATGGAGTCCATGAATACGTTTCATCACAGCTATACGCTTTTGTTTTGCTGCTTGTCTCGACAATGTTTACCAAAATAGAAGCGTTCTTACATTAGTGTTTTGCTAGGTGATAATGCTGCTGTAGAAAATAACAAAGTAGCAAACGTTTTCCTAGTGTAAAAACACATGTTTTCAACTGATAGTTAGAACAAATATTCATTGTATTGTTTACTCCAGTCAAAATGTGCCTACATGAACAATCGTGTATTTTAGGACATGATAAAGGCTGGAGTAGATGTCAGTAGGACATTGTGTGATAACAAGACTGACGGTGGAGGATGGATTATTATTCAGGTTTTTGTCATTAACCCATATTATGCTAGCGTCCCACTTATGGGACGCTTGTAAAATTTATTAAAAACTAGTTAAAACACAAATTATGTTTCATTGTATTTGAAAATGGCTAGACTATTGAATTTGTGTGTGTTTTGTGAAAAAAATTAATTTAGAAAAATGTTATGGCGCCGGCTTTGCAGGACTTGTCAAAATGGCGAAAAAAAGAAAAGATGCACACAGGAAATTGCATATCTTCTAAAAATTTAACATTTTAAGTGCAAAATACATTTAAAACTTGTAGCAGTACCATATTTCTATCTGATAAAAATTTAAGAATAACACATTTTTCTTAGTACTTCGTTATATCAAATGTACAACAAGCGTCCCATAAGTAGGACGCTAGCAACGAATGGCCCCATGTAGATTGTTACACAAACGTCACATTTATTGCACACTTGCGAGAAACAGAGATGTAAATGTTTATGTTAACTGGTTATTTATGGTGAAACAATTGTTGACTTTGTTAACTGTTGACTTTGGGGTATAAAGTAGTATTTATAGATATTTAATTATGACCTTGACCTATATTTATGCAGATTGTTACACAAACGTCACATTTATTGGACACTAGCGATAAACACAGATGCAAATATTTATGTTAAATGGTTATTTATGGTGAAACAATTGTTGACTTTGTTAACTGTTGACTTTGGGGTGTTAAGTAGTATTTATAGATATTTAATTATGACCTTGACCTATATTTTCTTATATATTATTGTATTAAAAAATTGCAAATATTGAAAAACTTACATTTTATTTTTAAGTTTTCAGAATTACACTTACTGAAGTATTTAATACCATTGAATACAAACTAATTTAGTATTGCTGTAAATTTACTAGCGCGTAATATTAAAATTATAACAAACCAGAATAATAACAATGGCCACGATTTAGGTGAAATGATTCAGTCATGGGGTTTGGTTATCTCTCTTCATATAAGAAAGCTTAAGCTACATATAGCAGAAATGTGAATTAGCTGTGTACAGTTGCCATGCCCCAATAATATCCCCATCCAAAGGTTACCGATACCAGTTTTACTTTGTTAACTTTTTAAGGAGATTCCTGGTGTTAGATTGGGAGCTGTTCGCATAGTGAGGTTCATACATGTATTGAGAGCCATGAACACTCAATACAAGCCCCCAGAGACGGATCCGTGCCCTAGAAATAAGATGTCTGATGTCCTAATGTACGCCTGTGAGGGGTGGGGGGGGGGGGGGGAATAGCGAGGGTAACAAAAGAGAAGATGGCTGGATGACATCTGGGACTGGACCGGATCATCTTTTGCAAATTCACTGAGGGCAGAGTTTCTTTCAGGCATCATTTCGGAGGAGGGGGGGACCAGAACAAAATAAAATTTATATACAAAACATACTTTTACCAATGTCCACCCTACCCCTGAAATTTAAGTTCCCACCCCTGAAAATTTCAAGTAGGCCCCCAAAAAAATCCATTATTTATATTTAATCATATAACAGTTTCGATGAATAATAACAATATTTGTGATCATGTGTGTATAATTAGATGTACTAGTCACAGCTTTACTTATTTCCAAGTGTTATTCACTTTGATGGATGCTAGATTGAAAGAAAACTAGACTTTTGAACATAATTTCTGCATTTTAGACCATGGTATGGCTAACCCAATTGATCATTATCAGTATTTTTAGCTGTCCTAAACAATGTAACCATTGGTCTAACAATACAAAATCAGTATACAGCTTAATTTTTGCGTGATTAGTCATATTTCGTGAAAAATGATTTTATTTTTCAATAAATGTACATGGGGCCGTTCGTTGCTAGCGTCCCATTTATGGGACGTATTTTAAAAAATCGATATTTAAAAAAAGTATTGATTTTAAAAAACAAAACCATAGTCATTGCTTCATTCAGTGCCCAAAAGCTAAACCATATGAAAAAAATAATAAAAATTTGAGACCTTGGGATAATATGGGTTAAAATTATTCTTAGCCATTTACCAATTTGTTGGGTTTTTTTTATATTTTATTCTAACATTTTTATGTATTTATTCCGTTAAAATTAAACGTATAATACACAATGTTGACATTTAGATGCGATCTAAAGAAAAGACATTCTAATAGTTGAACGACATACGCAGTATTTGTCTATTTGAAATTACGATGACTCTAATAATTAGTTATATGGACGTCAAAAGACACCAGCTCTAGTTTTTTTATCGTTGTGTCAGACCATTGGCCAGTATTCAGGTGACAAGTCCACAGCAGAGTTTTTTAACATAACTCAGTGTTTTAGTGGCTATTGGTGAGAAGGTGATTCTTAGTATTGTTTATTTTCTTGTTCTTGATAAAAATAGGGAGTTTTAAATAAAATAGAGAAATTCATAGTTTGTTATAAAAGATTATAATGTTATGAGTACATTCATTTTATTTTTAATATCTTTTGTGTTGTATACATAAATTTGGGGAATTATTTGGTTTCAAGTTTGAAGAGAAGCAAACGTTAAAGCAAGTGTTTTATCTCGTGATAGTTGTAACTGTCTTATACACAAAACATTGGAAATATTTAGTAAGTTCATGTGAAGAATATTAGGTTTTTATAAAGTTACGACTGCTTTGATTGTATGTATATTGTTTGTTGTAAAATATAACATAATAAATTTCAAAGATAATTAAGCCTTAAAATAAATCAAATGAACTTATTTTACCGTAGTTTTTTCGATGCCGTTATTTTATTCAGAAGCGTTTTAATTTCTTCAATATTTTCATTTATATTAGCACTTGCGTAAATTAAAACATAATTAATCTTCGGAATCAATCAAATCAACTTGCTTAAACTTTATTTTAGCATTGTCGTTATTTCTTACAGAGACGAATCAAAGGTGATGTGAGCTTTTTAAGAACTTGGAACGATTATAAAAACGGATTTGGCTCAAATTCTGGAGACTTCTGGATAGGAAATGACGTCATTTATCAGCTAACAAATTTAGTAAGAACATCAGATCTAGAACATCTTTTAATTTTCGTCATAACAAAATTTAAGGAAAGTAGGCCTATCTTTTAATGCACGCCTAATGTTATTAAGTTTGACCATATATGTCTAAAACACAAGTTAGTATAGACTTTCCACTCCCACGAGTTTATATTTTCCCAAACTTTTAAGTCAAGTAGACTTATTAGAATCCCAAAATAACATTTTATTCTTAATTATTCTTGCAAACAACATTCACCATTTATCCATTCACTCGGTAATTACATACGTAATTTGAATAAGAGAATATATTGCTAAGCTGTAATGTAATCAGGAAATAGATATTGTTATATAATATTTTCCAACAGAAGTCTTTGGTTGTAATAATCGGATGCATGAAGGCTATATCGAAATAAGTTTATCCAATATTTTTACTTTATAATCAACGTTTTCCAAGCATAGTTTAAATATCAACTACTGCACAGCTAATCATTAGTTGCATAAGTGGTAAATTTGTTTTAGAAAATTTCTTGTATTATTTATAAATGTTCGTCACGTTTTAGAAATAATTTTAATATGTATAATTATCATATATTATTAGCAGATCAATACTTAAAATGTTTCAAACATAATTCAATATTTAAATATTTCTAACTATTGTCTAACACAGGGTTATAATGAACTCAGATTTGACATGAAGTATAATTGTAAAGACTACTACGCTGTGTACAGAGGTTTCAAGGTAGAAAATGAAGCAGCAAAGTATAAGATGTACTCCATGTCATTCAGTGGTGGGAATGTTGAAAACTTGTTTATTCATCACAATGGCATGAAGTTTACAACCATTGACTCTGATAACGATATATGGTCACCTGTAAACTGTGCTGAAGAAAGGAGCGGTGGTTGGTGGTATAGTAATTGTCATTGGGTTAACGTCAACGGTGAATGGGCGAGTCGTGTTTACGATAAAGGAATTCATTGGTATAGCATTACAGGCTGGTCTGACTCTCTAGACTTTGTTGAGATGAAACTTCGTCAAATGTAAACAACCCGAGAACAATGTCTGGTAAAATTAAGGGTACACAACAATCAAATTACATAAAAACCATGAACAGCACTACCTAAATTAAAATAAATACATTTAAAAATGTAACTAAGGCAATATTTTCAAGATGATAATGGTGAAAGAGAAGTATACATGTAAGGAACACCAACTCATAACATTTCATTTGAAAAGTTGTTTTACAAACTCTAACATAATTTGTGTTATTATAATGATGTAATAAGACCAAATAAGCAGTAATCTTCACATTAAAATATTTTAAAGATTGACGGTTCGTGTTCTATCGATAAAAGAAAAAACACCTCGTGGATGAGTCATTTATTACTTGCATGTGTATAACTATATATTAGTATTGTAGTTGGCATCTACCACTATATCTTTAACTAGCCATTCACTTGAGTCGTGTGTCGTTAACCCATAACAACGTATATAATGTTTGTGCAATTTTTTTAATAATATTTTTAGCTAGTTTTTCAAAGATGCATATTCCATACAAACATTAAGTAGGGATAGTAACTGTTATATTTTAATTTGTAAAATTGTGTATTGTAAATTGTGTATAATATGAGGTCATACCAATGTAGTAGAATAAATGGAATATTTAAGTAGTTTTATCTAATGTATTTATTACAGTGCACGATGGTTTATTAAGGGAATCTCCGGTAAATTAAATATTTATAAGTAGACCTGAAAAGTTTTATTTTAAATCCTTTTTTACTAAGCTTTAAATATTCTTTTATTTCCGCTTTCAAGGTATGTAATTATACTTTCGCTGATGAAAATGGTATTTGTAATTGTTATATCTTATGATCAATTTAGTGTCCACTGTGTATCATACTATAGGTTGGAGAATCATTCGTTTGCCTATTTAATTTTCACAATTGTTTTCATACATTTTTCTTATATCGTCCACATAATTTTTTATCAAGCCTTCCTTTGGGTGGTTTAATGGATTCTTTGTTTTATATATTTAATAATATATCCATTTACAACACTTAATGTGATTTCTTTTTTTTCGTTTGTCTTTTGAACATATAATAAAAACTTCTAAATTATCAATCAGATATTAAATGTTGTTGTATTTTCTTGTTAATTATTATCTGGAAGAAGCAAACTAAAACGCCCAGATGAGAGGAAACAGCGATGTCGTCATTAACAAAGTATTGCACAAATAAAACTACCAAGTTAGAGACACTTAAAGAAGATCCTCTTAAATAAGATGTCTAATCGTATTAAAATCTGATAATCTTAACGCTATTAAACATATGGTACGGTGTGGTATGGCGGTAACGACCAAGGCTGATTAAAACTCTCAAGTTCGGATCCGAGCTCGAGATTATAGTGTGTAACTGTCCACAGATCTACGATGGTACTTTACTCACGTTATAGAAAGTACACATTGGCCAGGATTTTCTACTTATGTCGGGACAACAGAAACATGTGAACTCTTCTTCAACTGACATATAAATGTACTGATTTAAGTTTGTGAAACCAGGATAAGCCAATAAATTACGACAGCATCACAAATTACACGACAGCATAGAGTAACACTTGACATCACAAAACTAATTGTGCCGGTACTTAATAAGATATATTACAATCTCATAACTTAAAGTTTTTCATTAGCTAAGTCCGTGTTCTTATTTATAACTTCTTACAGTTTAATTAAATTAAGTTGGTCTAATATTGTTTTTACATTGAGTTTTATAACAATAAAAAAAAAATACATGCCGTAATCCGTTATAGTAGTAACATACACAGCTACTCAAACATACACTAAAGTGATAAGTAATAAGATTGAATTGGACACGCCAGTTATTATGCAGCAAAGTGCGTTTATAATATATGAACAGAAAAGATACCTGTGTCGTAGCGTGGACGGGGAGAGGATGAGACATCGTGATATTTAAAGTCTATCGTAACAATTTTCAAGATAAGAAATTCATTAAAAATCACTTCAAATACAATATCTGTAATATATATATATATATATATATATATATATATATATATATATATATATATATATATATATATATATATATATATATATATATATATATTCATATATATATATATATATATATATATATATATATATATATATATATATATATATATATTCAAGATAAGAAATTAATTAAAAATCACTTCAAATACAACAACTGTAATATATATATATATATATATATATATATATATATATATATATATATATATATATATGTATACATATATATATATATATATATATATATATATATATAAATATAAATATATATATATATATATATATATATATATATATATATATATATATATATATATATATATATATATATATAATCTCCATTGTCAAATTATAATTAAAAAAAATATAAAACAAAAACAAAGTGTTTGTTATAAATTTAATTTTTACGAGCCGACGCCGCTATTTAGTTGTTGTTTTTTCTACTTTTCAGTTATTCATAATTTGTGAATTCGACACTACCAACGCTGCCACTGAAAATATTTCTTTTAAAACACTATAAGTAGCTCGTTAAGGACGATACCCCCCCCCCTCCGTTAAAGTAAACTCCACTTAGTTACCCCCCCCCCTACGTTTAAAATCGTTTCAAACTAAATTATCTGCCCCTAATATTCGTGACTTAACCCGGCTGTGTTTGTAATGTTTGTAAACATAAAGAGTGAACCACAGCTCACCGGACCATGTAGGAGTAGGGGTGGTAGGGAGCGCGTTTGCAGCTTGTTTCCTAGCGGCTCCCAGAAGAGAATATATATATATAGATTTCATGACTAAAATAGGCATGTACAGTAGTTGTCTCTATCAGGGTATATAACTTCTCATCTTCAGTGGATAATTTTAGTTGTAGCCTCCCTTTATGTGATGCTAAACTCCATTGAGTATTATTTTAATATACGCCATTTGTTATGCATGTCATTGCGACACGGTAATTACCAAGGGCATATGATGTCAGTGATTGAGCTGGGGGTGGGGGGGGGGGGGTGATATCCACACAGTGCGCTGGCCTTAATGTTTGGGCTTTAAAAAAAGTAGGAACAAATTATAACCTTTATTATAGAATGATGCACAGTAAAAGTTAAGAAAATATAAGTGTACCAGGCTTTACTCGCTGATTTAACTTTAATTTAATCTACCTTGATTGTGTAACAGTGCAATAACACCCTTTAGAGTCATTGACTTGTAAAAACCGCTCGTAAGTGTATATCCAAGTTTAAAGGGGGTGGGGGGTTGGGGCGGGGGAGGGGGCGGGGGGCGTATATTAACGCATAATGTACGAGCTCTCCTTCCAGTGTTATTGAGAAATGGCTATAGTCTTTGTTGTTTACAAATTAATTTCTCTTAACTTCAGCGTGAGAGATTAATTACTTTTGTGGGTCTATTGTAAGTAAGTTAGAGAAATAAATGTCAGAGATTCTTGTATCGCTATCGGACTAGTTACCATAGGGTCGGTATCGTTAGAGTGTCCAGTTGAAACGTTAAGAAAACTATAACTACGCTTCATAGATTTAAAATTACATATTACGATTTGTAGTATACAATTGTACCTAAAAGAGTTAATTTATTGATTGCTGGTTTCGTAAAAAGCTTCTGATACTACATTTTTTTAATGAACTGAAAAAAAAAAATATAAAAACTTGCTTTCCTTAAAAAAACGTAGGTCGCAATAATATGTAAGAGATCTCATGAGCTACCCAAGTTCGTTTTTTTTATGAAAAACAAGTGTGTTTAATTACACGATTTTTATTTATTTTACAACGTCCGTTTGTTTACTTGTTTGTTTGTGTTAGGATATATATATATATATATATATATATATATATATATATATATATATATATATATATATATATATATATATATATATATATATATATTAAAGATTGCCTCGCTAAATTCTAAATTAAATCTTGTCACTGCAAAGTATATCCATCATGAGACAACATACCACACAGCAGAGGCGTAGCAATGGGGGGGGGGCATGGGGGGACATATGTCCCCGGGCGCCGACCTTAGCGGGCGCAAAAATAAGTTATTAAAACAAATTTAAATGTCATTTTAGCTGTATTTTTGCAGTTTGATCGGTGGGGGGGGGGGGTGCAAATCGAAAAGTTGAGGAGGGGGGGGGGGTGCAAATCGAAAGGTGCAAATTGAAAATTTGCTCCCGAGGAGGGCGCCAAATTGAAAATTTGTCCCTGGGCGCCGGAAGGTTCGCTACGCCTCTGCCACACAGAGGTAGGCTCGAATTCATTTCTGGCTTGGAATTATCAAGATTTAAAATTTTAAAATGATAGTTAAAAGTATTCTTCTTCTTCTTCTTCGTTCTTAATTTTTGATTATGGTGGAAGAATTAGACAACAAGTCCAACTTCATGGACAAACCGGACTGTGGTTTCCAGTTTGTCAGGTGTCCCATATAATTTTTCCCTGAGTGGGGTGGGCTGGGGCCAGTGTCTGCCTCTTGCCTGGCTATACAGAGTACAATCCTGGAGTACGTGCTCCGTGTTTTCCGGGGCCTTGCCACAAGGGCACATTTCGCTACACCCAACCTTCAGTTTTTTGTGCATGTGTTGATTTAGTCTGTTGTGGCCTGTTCTGAGTCGAAAGATTGTGTATTGTTGTTTTCGTGTTAAATTGTAATAGCCGTCGTCTTTAATGTAGTGAGGGTGTGTGACAGACCACATTTGCGTTTGTTTGTGTTTAATTATTCTTTTTATTTCTTTTGGGTGTAGCGAAATTTCCGGTTGTGGTTTCTTTCCCCCAATTTTTGCCAGCTGGTCTGCGATCTCGTTACCCTGGATCTGGCAGTGGCCCGGGATCCACTGCAGCACAATTCTGCTGCAGGTATTTTTTAGCCTCTCTAGTGCTGTCATGAGTGTTTGAATATAGGACTCCGGATTTTGTAGGGACTGCAGGACTGATTTGGCATCTGTAAGAAATACAATCTGACTATTCGGTGATTCAGGGTGTTCTGACAGGAGGTTTGCTGCGTGTTCTAAAGCTTCTTTTTCTGCCCTAAAATTGTCGGATAGGCTGCCTGTGGCTATTGCCTTTTCCAGGCTTTTTCCGCTTGGCCATTCAATAAGGATGCCAGCCCCGCCGTTTTTTGTGGCATCTTCAGCTGAGCCATCTGTGAAAACTCTAATCCAGGTATTGCTGGGGTACTGATCCTTAATGTGTTTATTTGTTATTTTCTTAAGTTCTTCTAGATCATAGTCAGATTTTTTTCCTATGGTGTCTATTGAGTCAATAATGGTTAAGTGACAGTGGGAGATCCAAGGCGGGGAGAGGTTTTGAGTTTTTATTGCTTCAGGAATGATATTTTCGATTTCATATTTCTTTTTCAGATTCTTTGCTTCTTTGATGAAACTTGTTCTTTGTAGTCTGGTTGATGGACTGGGTTTCTGGAGTTTTTGTTTTAGGTTATGGTTTTCCAGTGCCTCTAGCTTTGTGTAATGAGTGAGGATTTTTGATTCTCTTCTTTCTTCTATTGAGCTAAGAGCGGCTATTTCCTCCATAGCATTTATGGGTGTTGTTTTCATGGCTCCTGTCATTATTCTCAAACCTATGTTCTGAACTTTGTCAATTTTGCTAATATTTGTTTTTGCTGCTGAGCCCCAAGCCGAAGCACCATATTCTAACGTAGGTCTCACATAGCTGGTGTAGGTTTTTTTCAGGATGTGGTGATTTGCTCCCCAGTCTGTTCCTGCCAGTTTCCTCATTAGATTAAGTCTTTTGATACCATTACTCTGTGTGTTTTCTATTTGTTTTCTCCAGGTAAGTCGAGTGTCAAAAGTGACTCCTAGGTATTTGGGGTGGTCATTTTTTTCTAGCTCTTGGTTTTCTAGGGTAAGTTTCATTTTTTGATGTTTAGTTGATAAGGTGAAGATTGAATAAGTTGTTTTCTTGATATTGATGGATAAGCCCCAGTTTTTGGTCCATTTGCCGAGCTTGTCAAGTGTTTCTTGAAGACGAAATTTTGAGGTACCAATATATTCCTCTGTGCTGATTAGTGAAAGGTCGTCTGCAAACATGCTTCTTTTTACTCTCTTTGGGATGTTTTCATTTAAGTCATTTATATAAATGAGGAAGAGAGTAGGAGACAAGACTCCTCCTTGAGGGACTCCATTTTTTATAGTTACTGTGTGACTATATTAATTTCTGCATTATAAAACGCCGAATTTATAATTAATCTATATAATTAATCATCCTAGCTTTCTAAAACTTAATTTTAGCATTGTCGTCATTTCTTATAGAGACGTATCAAAGGTGATGTGGACTTTACAAGAAATTGGAACGATTATAAAAATGGATTTGGTTCAACATCTGGAGACTTTTGGATCGGAAATAATGTAATTTCAAAAGTGACAGATTTGGTAAGGAAATAATGGCGGCTTAAAAACCATGCATGGAAAATGAATTTTATACAAAACATTACGAAGTAACACTGAGTTTTGTGTTTTAGGGGACTGTGTTAACTTGATTGTATCATATACACTGCAGGATGTAGATGCTATCATTTAATTTCTAATTCTTAAAAAAAATCACTTTATTCGATACATATATAAACTAGTTTGTTAGTTTAGTTAAATGATAACTGTTTCATAAAACATGGGGTCTTTTCAACATCAATTTCTCAATTAGATCATAATTTCTTGTACGTCATTTTCAACAAAGTATCTAATTTAGAATGTAGTAATTGTATTGACGATTAAATATATTGTAGTAACTTATATGAAACGCGTGATTTCGTATGAAACACGCTTTTTTGGTTGAGTGATTTTTGTATTTTACCACAAAAATATTATCTGTCATAAACTCAGTTGACACAACTTGAACGTATACAGCTGTTAAAGACAAACTATTAACGAAAAAAAACCATTTTATTTACCATCAGTTAATAAATGTCTTTTCCAATTCATCGCAAGATAGCACATTATTCATATTATTATAAGATCTCTGAAAAGTAGATGTGGTACACTTTTAAAAAAAAATATCGCCTCTAGAAATAGTGTTTTGATTTTAGCGGTATTGATTTAGTTTCATGGGTCAGGGGAAAGCTGAGTATGAACTATTACATCGCCCGCCTTCTCATACCTCTTTAATTATCCTCAAGTCATATTCCCTTTTAATTACACACAGATTAACTACCCCTGCAAAGTACTCCCACACAGCAAAAAACTGCAATAGGACACACACCCAGTTTATTATTCAGCGGACACCAGTGCATAGCAAAATGGAAAAAAAAGTGGTTAGCGATAGGTAAAACTTAGGGTTATGAAAAGGAGACGGATAAATATGTGACATATTGAAATTTAAAGGAGAGGACATTAGTAACATAACTAGGGCAATGTATTTTAGAGGAGAGGGTATTATTGACTAGAATGTCTGTTATTAACATAGCATACAATCGGTTACAGTTAATAATAGGTTCATTTTGATATTTTTATTTAATCTTCATATCGATTGGACAGTGCGTCTGGTGTACACATGTCACTGAAATGCACATTTAAATCATCAGTCATGACATTGAATATTTAAAATACATTTAAATAGGCTTAGAGTAAGTAAAGTGCTATTTTAATTGCGTATGCATGCTAATGCTTTTCGTTGAGTTGTTCAATTTATGCAAACAATAGCTAACTAACGAAACAAATACTATGCATCCTTACTTGATACGATGAAGGTGCACTTACTGCAAATGGAGTCTGTTAATAGATGAATACAATTAACAAAGCGTGTTTTTATTTCTGTCGGGAAAAAAGCTACGTGTCTAGGTCCGTTGATTTCAGAAATGTTTATTAGATAAACGAAATGCAGATTATGTAAAATAACTTCAGAAAAGAAAACACAGATTATGTAGTAAAGATCGTGGTTATGTAACAAACCTTAAGGAATAGTGTAATGCAGTCAGTAGGATATTTTTCACAGGTCATTTCGTCATCTAAGGTTTTATCAACAGGTCAATTCCACTCCCATATGCCCGTTCCGCTTTCATTATATTAACCCGCAGTCTGTCATTATCTCCATTAACCAACCTGCGTATAGAGATACAAATAAGTTACGTTGTGAATAAGTGAGGTTTAGAATTTGAGATTCGAGTTCATCAAAAAAAGGAAAAGTGCATAAGTAATATATATTGTAAGGGAAGATGGTGTAATTACCCATAGGTTGACAGAAGGATGATTGTGTCTTAACTGCGAGCGTGTTAGAACGTGAAGGCAATGTCAGGAGATTAATGAAAAGGAGAAAGTTCTAGACATTGATAAGCCATACGTTGTTGTGAACACACGTACAGGCCTTACAGGTAATCCGCTGCGTTGCGCAACATATAAGACAAACAACCACAGACGTAACAAATGAAAACAATGGCTCGATAAACTAAAGGAATTTAATAATATCTACACTATCTACACCTAAAACAGTCTATTCTAAATACAAAATACACAAGCTAGTAAAACTACGATACAGTGGCTAATTACTATACTAATCTTGGAGATCTGGACGAAACCGAGGCAAACACACGGTTTCACACACCTTTTATAACCTATCATAAACTGGTACAAATCGGACTATTACAACTCACAGCACTAGAACTGAACAAGGACGAACGGAATAGTTAACAGGTACAATCAACATTCACCAGTATTCATCCCCTTCACTGGTTCATTACATGCTTAAATTGAATATAAATGCTATTTCTATTATATAAGCTGCAATGTAAGCTTGAAATAGATAATGTTATATAATCTTTTCCAACAGACGTATTTTTTTTTGGTAATAATTGGATCAATCAAGGCTGTATCGAAATAGGTTAATCCAAAATTTTCACTTTCTAAAAAAGTTTTCCAAGCAATGTGTATATTATAAAAATCAACTACTGCACCACCAATTATTATAAGTGGTACAATTTGTTTAGACAATTTAGTGTATTATTTATAGATTTTCGTCAAGTTTTAGCAGTATGTATAATTATCTGATAGTATTAGCAGATCTATACTTAAAACATTTAAAACACAATGCAATATCTAAATATTTCTAATTTTTTGTCTAATACAGGGTTATAATGAACTAAGATTTGACATGAAGTATAAAGGTAAAGACTACTACGCTGTGTACAGAGGTTTTAAGGTAGAAAATGAAGCAGCAAAGTATAAGATGAGATACACATCATTCAGTGGTGGGAATGTTGAAGACTCGTTTAAATATCACAACGGCATGAAGTTTACAACCATTGACTCTGATAACGATAAGGTGTATGATGCAAACTGTGCTGTAAAACCTGGAGGTGGTTGGTGGTATGAGAAGTGTCACTATGTTAGCGCCAATGGTAAATGGGCGAGTCGTGAATTTCAAGCAGGAATTCACTGGGTAAGCCTTACACGCTATAAATACTCTCTAAGCTTTGTTGAGATGAAACTTCGTCGAATGTAAACAACCCGAAAACAATGCTATGGTAAAATAATGGATATGCAATAATCAAATTATTTATATAATCTTCGAAGCATAAACAACATTACATATATTTAAATAAATAGATGTAAAAATTTAACTAATGCAATATTTTCTTGATTTAAGTTTAAAATTAAGGAACATGAAACCATAACATTTTATTTGAAAACTGACTTTAAAAACTCGAACATAATGTTTTTTTATTACAATGAGATAATAAGACCATATATGCAGTAATCTCCAATTAAAATCCCTCAATGATTGATGGTGTGTGTGCTAGCTATTAAAGAAGAAAAAAAACGGTGCAATTTTATTATTGCAAATGCATAGACTAGCAGTATATTTGTTATCTACCAATATAACTTTAATTAGCCATTCACTCGGATCATTTACAATGAAATATATGAACAAAAATAAAATTTCATTTTGATTGTTTTATTACTAAGATTAGAATATTCTTTTATTATCGCTTCAAGGTATATAATTATACTCTCACTGATCAAAAGGATAATTTTTTATTGTTATCTCCCGTGATCAATTTTGGGGGCAATTGATAACCGTTTGCATACATCTTTAATACATCATTAATAAAATCAGTATAAAACCAAAACAAAATATTAGTATTTTATGTCCTTAACTAAAATTGTGTTGCAATGTTTTCCAAGGTATATAATCGCTATATTCTCCAAGTATGTGGATAATTTTAATTATTTCCTCCCTTTATTAATTTAAAATCATCTATACGTTTTTTTTTTCCCACGTTTTCTTTAACTTGCTTTCGCGTCTGTTTATTTGTTTGTTTGTTTTTCCAATCAAATGTTGCGATCGAAATTTCGGGCACTTCCCAGTTAGCTAGCGCGCTGACATTTTCAGGGAAGCTTTGTTTCCGATGACAATACAATATTCAATTATTATTATTACTAAATTGATCCATAGAAAACTTTTATTGATCATTTTAGATCGCTATTGATTTGTACAAAACAAAGGGACATAACCTAGTAATTGTAATTTGATAAAAACAAGCTTCCGTACTTTACCTTGAAAAAGATCGAAACCGAAAATCTGCTGCTTTAGCGAAGGAGACAGAAGAACAAAGTGTCTCTCGTAAAGCAAAAGATAGAGTGCGTCATGCTACTGCTCGTGCGATTGAGACAGAACGAGAAAAGGTCTCTCGTCTTGCTAAGCAGAAATAACGAACTGATGCTGCACTTGCAATTGAGACAGAACAAGAAAGGATCTCTCGTCTTGCTAAGCAGAAATAACGAACTGATGCTGCACTTGCGATTGAGACAGAACAAGAAAGGATCTCTCGTCTTGCTAAGCAGAAAGAACGAACCCCCAGCTGATCATGAATAATAAGCGTGTCATGCCTGGTATAAGTCCCTTTTATCTTTGTGTTCGTTCTTTGTGAGTGTTTTTCTTCGTTTACCCAAAAAAAAAGTGAATGCGAGAAGATAAAATCGATAGCAAGATTTGAATGCAAACAAACAGACAAAGGCTAAAAAGTAGAAAATAATTATCATTAAAAAAATTTAAAAACCTACGTTTTCTGATTGAACTAAAAAGTAGAAAATAAATGCTATACATCACAATAATGCAATCGATCACTCTACTATAAGCGATCGCAAACTTCGTGCGCATTATGACAAAAAATAAAAAACGTGGGGCGCCGAAGTAAAAGTAAAAGAAAATCACGGCGCCCTACGTTTTTCATTGTTTGTCATAATGCGCACGCAGTTTGCGATCGCTTATATATACCCCCCTCGATATATATATATATATATATATATATATATATATATATATATATATATATATATATATATATATATATATATATATATATATATAGCCCCTTGGCACACCTTGTACCTACGCCACTATATATTCATGTTCTAAGATTATATAGCACATTCTATCTATAAATTCGATAAAAGTAGTTATTACGTATTCTGCAATTTTATATTTGTAATAACATATTGTAAACAAAATGAGTCTTAAATTCGATTAAAAAATGTTCTTTTATATTATGGTTTTTTTTTTTGTATTTTGCTATCATATCATGTATTACATGCTGTAGAGCCTAGATTCTATAATAATATACTAATATACTCTATATTCCGCAATCCTATATTTTATCGTTAAGTAATCTCTGCCCTAATGTTTTCTATACTGAATAATCAGAATTCTGTAATTTTAAATTGTGTATATGTAACACATATGGTTACCAGCCAGGGGAGGGAAAAATATGAAGTTTTAATTCATTGAGTTGCCACCCCTGTGGGGTCGTGGCCCTGTTGACTTAGTTGTTTTCTCCGTGTTCTTGTGAGCGATGTTACCTGTGTCCAATGTCATGTGACATGGGACTGTGGGTAGTGTCATGTCTAGCCGAGTCGCACACGCAAGGCTGCTGTCTGTGGACACGGTGACCAAGATGTAGACCTAATGAAGGTAGAGTAGTTACATAAATTATGTTTGTTAAAATACTTATTTGTGTATTCCTGCTAGTGCTGCATGTGCACACTAGTTAGGGGCTACAGTTTTTTTCTTGGCTTGTTTGTTTCCTTGGTTTCCTGTTGCTTCGGTATTTTCTCTTTGAAATCGTCGTACTACTGTGTTGCATCGCCGTCATGGCTCGATGCTGTGAATAAAGGAGTACTTGACAACAACTGTCGGTGTCAGTGTGTACTTAATCTCAGGGTCAGCCCGTCTTAACCACAACACCTCAGTGGGTAAAAGCATCCCCACTGAGTGAGGGTTACATATACATTAATCATACAATCTCTAAATAATCATAACTAGGATCACAATTAAACTCAGCAAGCCACTGTATTAATTTATATTGCTAAAATAATTTAATTTTCAATTTTAAAGACAGAAGATACATTTTTTATAATATTAATGATTATTAATAATTTATTAGCTCTGTAAAATGAATGGTTGTTTAATTGTTCTTATATTAAATATTTTAAGCGTTTAATTAATCGAAATGGTTTTATTCAGTTAGCTAGTTTTTACAGTTTATAACTATAATTAGAGTCTCAACGACAGAATCAAATGAGAGAAAATCTATTGGCTTATTATATACCGACACTGTCGATTAGCAACTCAACGACAGTGTCGTTGATAATAGTGTAAGATCGGCTGAATGAAATGTTCTATTACTTATTTTAATATTCGCTGACTGTTATGCATGTCATGGCGATACAATGATAACATAGAGAGCTTGGTGTCAGTGGCGTAGCTAGGTTGTTGGCGGGTGGGGGGGGGGGGGGGGACGGGGGAGTAGGTAACAGCGATGGGCGCCGAGGTTTAAGTATGGGCACCAGCAAGTGTTATTGAGAAATGACAATAGTCTTTGTGATTATATATTAAGTTTCTCTTAACTTAAAAGCGTGAGAGATAAATTACTTTCTTAGATCCATTGTATTTAAGAGAAATAAATATCACGGATTCTTGTATCTCTATTGGACTAGTTATTATAGGGCCGGTTGTTTTACCTGGGGTCTATGTAATCCGTAGTTATACAGTAGCCATTCAGTAGTTCTTCCTAGAGCTTCAACTTAGAACACGACGACATTAACGTAGACAAATTATTCTACAAGATGCTATCAGTTAAATGCAATATTTCTCTCTCTCTCTCTCTCTCTCTCTCTCTCTCTATATATATATATATATATATATATATATATATATATATATATATATATATATATAAAGCAATGTATGTGTCTGTCTGTCTGTCTGTCTGTCTGTCTGTCTTTTATAAATTACTACACCTCTCATTACATCGCCGTGTAACTTTGGGAAGTTGTTGTGAATATTTCTGTGGAGGTTTCTGCGAAAAAAATTATTCAAATTCGCAGGGGTGGCGCCCCGTCAGTGCGCAATTTGTTTTTTCTCAATGTATATAAAAATAAAAGTCGATTTACATTTGACACCGTTCATCAGAAAGACATGAAACTTTGGGAAGTGTTCTGTATAAAAATCATTTTTAATTTCGCAAGGGCGGGAGGATGCGATTTTTCTCTCTGTACTGTATATAAAAAATAAAAGTCAGATGCGTTTCGACACCATTCATTCGTGTATTATGAAACTTTGAGTTGATGAGAATACTCCCGAGAAGGTTTCTGTGAACACAATAATGAAAATATGATATGGGTGGCGCCTGCGAGGGTGCGATTTTCGTCAATGCAGAATTTGACGCCCAGAGTTCCAGAGCGGTTACGTTTTGCACGACGGCGCCTATGCGAAAGTGTAATCGGGGCGCGGGGGGGGGGGGGTGGTGGTGGTGGGGGGGGGGTCTTGAGAGCACCCCTCTACGGTCACCGAAGTGTGTTCTACCTCATTATTTCGGTGAGTGATTGATGTACACTAAAGGTTTTCATGCGTTAGTGTATGTTAACCCGTGTCCCGATATTTATGAGCCAAGCGCAGGCATTGTTTACATTTAAATAGCTCACTTTTAGAAAACAAGGTCACGCGTCTAAGAATATAGGATTGGTAACGTATAAATGAATCCCTTCTTATATATTTCGTCGGACTTTCATTTATTCCCGCGGCAACGCGCGGGTACGGGTTCGCTAGTTACACTATAAAAATATACAGGACGACTTGAACGAACAATACTAAGACTTGACTACACTACGGCTTCACATTAACAAGACAAAAGACTACCTAAAATGTTCAACTGTGAGAGGGTTAACCTACTTGACCCACTATCATGTGAGGATACCACGATCAAAGGCAGTCATTATGCCATTACACATCTCAACGATACAGTTAACATTTAAATCGACACGGAGCTTTTTCTTTTGAACTTTATTCAGTTACTTGGCTAATCGATTATGCTTGCAATTATCGTCCATATAGACTTCTCACAAAATCACTCTCCCAGTTGAGGCACACAGATCATATACATCCTTACTCTAGGACGATCAAGACAGAACTAACGTACACACAATGCACAGCAACCAGTCTCTACCCAAAACGTCTGTTATAGTTGTGTCCTAAGTGTGTTGCACAGTCTTGTGACCAGCATGATTCACTCCTACACCTCAGGTGCTGGTCACATGATTCACTCCTACATCTCAGGTGCTGGTCACATGATTACTCCTACATCTCAGGTGCTAGTCACATGATTCACTCCTACATCTCAGGTGCTGGTCACATGATTCACTCCTACATCTCAGGTGCTGGTCACATGACTCACCACAACAAGATTATAGACAGAGTTCTAACCCTCACGTTCCAGGTGTGATCATATGATTCGACTCAAGTCCACATTTGAGATCCTCATCACGTGACTAACAAACCCATCTTATGTGACACGTCTACTCTATGACATTAGCCAAAGCATACTTAAATGTTAACACGAGATCACTAAATATTCCCCTTATACGCCTTAATATATTTTTATAAATGTAAACTTTACCAGTTTGAACATTATTTATACAGTCGACTTATGTTCGATAAAAACATGCACACGGTTTAAAATATTGCTAAAATATCAATTTATAAGATCTTGCTTTATTACCCACATTACTTCATATCAGCAGTTTTACCGTAATTTTTAAATGCACGTGCCTGACCTCCTTGACCTATTATAATGACGTATGTGAGGATAAATATGGATCATGTTATAAAGGTTGTTGTGACCTTCTCACACGTGAGAAATGTGAAACCATCCCAAGGACATGACAACTTTTGTAAATTGTAGGTGCACACGTTATTAATTTGATGCTCAGGTTGTTTAGGTCGGTTTAGTAACATGGCCCTAGTGTGGGAAATATTTTTCTTAATACATACATTCGTTTCTAATTTATTTATTTTTTTTGCACGAGGGTTCTAAATTTGATAAAATAAAATTTCAGAAAAATTTAAAATTTGCAAGTGTATTATTATTATCACAATAATATGTGCAATAATGCACATTAGTTTTTTTCAACGGGTATCAACTCTATTTATTTAACACATTACAATCTGATTTATTTAGAACGATTGTTTCTTTTTTTACTAAAAAGATGTAATCTTTGTATAGAAATAGTATTTCTCTGCCTGCTAAAACACGGAAGAAATAAACCGGGAGTGATCTCCCCTAAACTTTCTCGAATATTCAAATATAACACTACGGGCGATGGCAACTCGGGATAATAATCAAATTTGTAGTTCTTTGTCAATTTTCAGCTATTACTGGTTATCGGAAGGGGAACTTATTCAACTTTTGATTTTTTTCAAATTGATTAAAAATCATGTATATATTCCGAATTGCCAACCCCCGTAACCTGATGAAGTCTAATATAGAAAGTTAAGGGGAGATCACTCCCGCTTTATTGTTTAAGTTACAGTGCTTTTGC